CAAGAAAAGCCATGTTGAGACCTCGGAGCTCTAGTAAACCCATCGCGCCACTTCCTTCGACATTACTAGTTTATCTCGACTTATCCAATGAGCCTTTCGCGCTTCCCCTCGCTGTCCCCACCAAAATCGTGTGATCAAGCTCTGCACCTCATCAATCACACCTTCTGGCACCTTAAAGACTGACATCGCATAATTAAGTTGAGCTTCTGCGACAGATCTAATGAGCACCTTAAAGACTATACTTCTTAGTTGCATAGTATAGTACACACGAATATTCATTGGGCTCTTACCCACAAATGATTACATTTACAAAAAAAAAATTACAAAATAGAAATGACCCAATTCAACTTGGAACACAATTTGCGGCTTGATGAGCCCAGTTAGGGATTCGAACGATCAGAGTACACAACTAGGGAAACTGTCTTCGAGGGGGTGATGAATTCGTGGTAAAAACAGAGGAGATGGATTGATGAATGGGGAAAACCGAACAAGTAACTTCAACGCGAGGGGAAGAGGCTAGTTAGGGTAGAGATTACCACAAGATCGAGAGTGAATGGCTCGATCTCTAGGTCTGCAATTCTCGAACAAAACCAAGAACAATTCAGCTCGCAAGCTTGAGGAACTCCTCAGAGTAACTTTTCGATTACACTTAGACGCTATTACAAACCAAAGTAAGAGCTATTTATAACCCACTAAACATAATTACAAACCTAAGAGAACAAGGAAAGAAACCAACAATAATCCAACTTAAAAAGGTAACAAATTGGTCCAAACTTCCTTTTCTTCAAGCACAAGTAAACTGCTTCCTTGCACAAGCAGGTTGCTGGAAATCAAGCTTCGTAGCATCTTTCAATCTCTTCGTTGGAAGCCTTCCAGGTAAGCTTTCACTCAGCCAATGCCCTGTCTCTGTAGAGTAACATACGTACTCTCATGTGGTGTGAAGCCCCGTACTCGATTCTCATTCCTGCTCCTCTGGTCGAGCTCCACAGTAGCAGCTGACACAACTTTCCTGCCTTAGCAAAAAATAGACAGTTTTCAGACTACAGGATAGAGTTTTGAGCAGCTTGAAATCCAACCCTCCTGGCCTCCTTTTCACGATCCAAATAACCCAAGTTGTAGAGGAACACCCAAGTTTTAGAACAAGCCCTTGACTTGGCGTTTTCATTAAACCAATTGGAAGAATCAAGTCTACAAAGTAGAACTCCCAAGTCTGCTTCAACACTTAACCAATTTCCAGCTTTATTCTTGTGAACTTGGTGTGATCTTTGCCCGAGTATTTGGAACTTGTAGATCGAAGAAATTCTGATCATATCAGGGCTTGTAGCCCATCACTTGGAGGCCCAAATCAGAAGCATCCAAATAAAGAGAACAATTAGTTCAAGTCCAAATTCAAATCATACAACAAATTCAGGCTCACAAATTTTAACCCATTTCAGGTCCATCCTAGTTGACTAAATTGCGCTCCATGCTTCTCTAAAATTACATCTCCTTGCAACCCAGCCTCCGAAAAACAAAACATGGGGTAGTGGAGATAAGATCGCGAGCTCGTGAAAGCTTAGGTCTTTTTGTTAAAGTCGTGCAGTTATTTACCCTTCATATTAAGGTTTGTTTCGTGTCAATTCATGTGCATAATTGCTTGAACATCATCAATTGCATCCCTATTTCGTTCCTATTTGAACTCGATGTGATTCTAGGGTGTTTTACACAATACATGAAAATTAGGTACAAAGCAAGGTCAGTAGGGCTGGTAACCGGTTCGGTAACGGTTAACCGGTTACCGAACTAACCGGTTACGGTATACCGACTGCTTTGAAACCACGGCCGAATACCGATACCAGTTTGTAGCCATTTAGCCGGTTACCGAATAACCGGTTAACGGTTACAAACCGGTTAACGGTTACAAACCGGTTAACGGTTACAAACCGGTATTACCGAAACACCGAGCCAAGGAAGCGAAAACACATTTCGGTTCGGTTAAACGGTAAGTAACCGGTAACCGATTGTGTGCAGAAGGGTAATGGGAGGCAGCATGCTCTCGGCAATTTTAAAAAAAAAATTCATTGTGTTTTTATATATTTTATGTACTCAATAATGTAAGTCTTAACTCTTATTTACAATATTAAGAATTATTATAATTTATAACATTACAATTGTCATTTGTCAAACCATAATTGATTTATAAGTTATAACAAGTTCAAACTTCAAATTCTGAAATTCATTAAGTATCATCAAATATTGAAATTGAAAGGGACGATAATCAACATAATTGTCAATCAACCAAAGTGCATAATGATTAATGTCAATGTCTAAAATCTAAATTCACACAAGTTCAAACTTCAAACTTAATAATAAAAATGGATCTTAGAAGTACCCAAATAACACAACATAAATAAACGCATAAACTAGTTACTAGCTAACATCTCATGCTCCTCCTTCTCCGATAGAACTTGTTGTCCCACCACCAACAATAGCATATCATTTCTTCTTCAAAGTCCTAAGAAGAGAAACTTCGGGATCGTCATCGTCACTCTCACTCTCCTCGTCATCTTCCTCCTCCTCCTTGTCCTCCTCAACAACCCCATCAAGTAAGCTATGTGCTCTAACTTCAGTAGCAGTTTCCACTCAAGCTTGGAAAGTATTAGCCGCTAGTGCAAACAAAAAACACAAATACTAATGATTTAAATATGGAATGGCTTAATTATTAGTAAAGAGTATATACAATAATACAAATAAGAAGAATGAATTGAATTCTTACCATTATCAAAGTCGATTGTCTCCTGATCTTCTTCCTTATCATTCAGTTCATCTACAGTCTTTCCACTTTCATACTTTATCCAATCTTCAGCACAAATCAAGGCCTCTACAATGTTTGGGCTCAAAGATGATCTGAAAGGACTAAGAACTCGACCTCCACAACTGAAAGCGGACTCCGAGGCAACATATGATACTCGAACTGCTAATATATCCCTAACCATCTCTGCAAGAATGGGATATCTAACACTATTCCGTGACCACCACTTCAGAATGTCAAACTTCCGATCATCAAGCTCCTCGTTAACAGCATCACCAACATCTCTCAAATATGACTCCAACTCACCAGATACACTACCCCCCTCTCAAGTTGCTCCTTTCTCTTCTGTTGGAACCGAGCTTCAAATGCACCTTCCATAACAGAAGACTCGGAACTAGTCACAATATTAGAAGTAGTCTGAGTAGTAGCTTCGGAATCAGAATGTGAAGATGCATACTTCGCCTTGTAGACCTCGAACAATAGTGTCATCTCTTTCTTCACCTGATCTGCCAAACCTTCCCCTTTTGACTTTCCATACATCTCTTCCAACATCATAGTCAAATAGTATAGTTTACGCCTTAGATCAAGCACACAGGCCATGTAAACTATCCTATTTATTCTAATGTTATCCTCCTCATCATCAGCATCATTCTCAAACCAATACTTTCTCACCTTTGCCTATATTCTTTCTGACATTCTTTGTATTTGTTCATCTGCATCCTTCTTCAAAGTAGCAATCACTTCATGAATATCAACAATGGCTCTGCAGAAAGTATGTGGAGTGACATATGATGTCCCTGATACAAAGAAAAAAGTATAAAGAAAATGTAAGTGAGAAATCATAAACTTTAACTTTAAGAAATGAATTTTAAAATTTGATAGTTCATTCATTTACATACCTGATACACGAAGAGTAAGATCATAAAAGAACTTCAGGTACTTCATGAGACGCCTAATGCTGCTCTAATCTTCTCCAGATGGAAGACCTTCTTGGAGTCCACATAGTCTCGAAAAGAAGCATCAGTAGGACTATCATACATCAGAGAAAACACCTTCTCAAACCTCTCTGCAGACTCCAACATCAGATAGGTGGAATTCCACCTAGTCGGAACATCCAAAGACACAAGTCTTCTACCATCCATCTCCAGGTAGTCGATGCTAGATTTGAACTTTGCACTCCGAGCTGGTGATGACTTCACCCATTTCACACAATCCCTTACCTTCTCCACAGCAACTCCAACCTCTTTCAAACCATCAGAGACGACCAGATTGATTATATGTGCCACACATCTATACTGCAGGTACTTCCCATCTAGCAAATCCGATCCCCACCCTTTCATTTTTCTTCTCATACAGTCAACAAGCACATCATTGGAAGTGGCATTATCCATTGTCATGCAAAACAGATTCTTCACTTTCCATTCTTGTAGACATGCTGCCAAAGTATCTGCAATATCTCTCCCTGTATGACTGGTAATGGGAACAAAACAAATAATCCTCTTCTGCAGTTTCCAATCATCTCCAATAAAATGTGCAGTCACACACATATAATTCTAGTTATTATCACTAGTCCATGTATATGTAGTGATAGAAATCCTTCCTTTGCACTTTGAGTTAAAAAACTCAATCAACAGCTCTTTCTTCTCCAGAAAAATGACATAACAATCAGATCTAATTGTTTGCCTTCCAGGTATCACAAACAAAGGCTGTGATACTGCCATAAATCTCTTAAATCCTTCTCGTTCAACAAATCGAAACGGAAGCTCATCCAAGATTATCATGATAGCTAATGCATAGCTTTGTTCTTATCAAACTTCCACGGAGTAAGAGAGCCTACCTCACCAGTCCCACTAGCTTGATAGTTTAATACCGACTGCCCACTAGATTCCTTCGACCTCCTCTCGCACATCAGATGATGGTTTTTCAAACCAGTAGTGTCATTGTTGGTAGAATGAGCTTTGATCAGCGTCCCACACCGTTTGCATTTTCCAAATGGATAGTCATCCACTAGCACCTCATCATAAGGGATCCACCACTTAGACGTCTTCTTCCTCTTCCCCTTATCTATTTTCTTTTGCACACCAGGTACCTCACCAGCAACACCAGTAGTAGTAGCCGGATTTGCTGCAGATGGAGGTGGTGGATTTGCTGCCGATAGAGGAGGTGGATTTGCCGTAGTGGAAGGTGCACTAGTTGAAGCCGGCGACGAATGGGGAAGACGAAGGCAAGCTTCATCGCCGGCGACGAGGGAAGAGGAAGGCATCGTCTGGCAAGGGTGAAAGGGCGAAAGGCAGAGTCGGAGAGGGAAGTGGGATTGTGGTTGTGGGAGTGGGAAGGGTGGAAGGAGGCGTCGTCGGAAGGAGGTCGGAAGGCGAGGCGGCAGTCGGCAGATGGCGATGGTTGCGGCTCTCCAAGAATCTCGGCGTTGACTGCTGAGACGATGGACACGAGAAGAGAAGTGAGCATTAGGGTTTTTTTTACCCTTCGATTCGTTTTAGTCGACCCCCCTTTGGCAGTTTGGCTTGTGCGCTGCGTTTTTGCCCCTCTCCCACACGGTATCCGGTTAATCGGATAACCGTCGGTATATACCGGGTGGGGAGGAGGTATACCGGCGCTGCGTCTCTTCCATTCGACAAACGAGTTTTACGGTTATCGGTATAACCGGTAACCGATTATACCGATAACCGGGAAACCGATTGTCACCCCTAAAGGTCACAAGTGTAGCAAGGGGACAGAAGACTAAAGATCGTGGCCTAGAAGTGAAGATCATGATCGAGATCATGGCATGCGAAGTCAAGTTAAAGATCGCGGCCTAGAAGCCCAAGATGCGGCCGTGAATTGGAAGGCTCTGGGGCGAACTTCGTGAAGAATCCATCAGGAAGAAACAGAGAGTTTCCTCAGTTGGATCATTGCCATAGTGCAAATTGACCGCGTGGAAGATCACAACCACAACTCATGAATCGAGACTGTGAAGTCAGCCCACGATCTCCTCTCTACCGAAGGCCAAAATGATTACGTCGCAAGATCGTGGCCTCGTCATAGAAGATCCCGCATGCTATCTCGACCCTGCCTGGCCGTAAAATTTTCTGTCCTCTTATGCCTATAAATAGAGGACCCTTCCCCCCATTGAAGGGAGCTGATTGTATAGATATAATTTGGGTAAAATACCACGAGTGCCACTTAACTTTGAGAATTAGGGTTGTCATACCACTTAAGTTTGAATATGGCGTCGGGTACCACTAAACTCCATTATATGTGCATTCCGTTAAAGTTGACAGAACATTCTTGGAATATTTTGTTTTCTAAATTTCATAATTGGTTCTTCTACTTTTTTATTGTAAAAAAATTATTTGGACTTATGAAAAATATCATTTTTTATTGGTTAGTTAGAATCCTCTTTTGAATATTTGATACCAAACCAAGAAAGTTTATAATAAATTATCATTATAATTATTTCAATTATCATTATATTTTCTAATAATTTAATTATTGCATGCATGTTGTAACTAAACAATGTTGTAGCTTATATAGTCATATTTTCTTTTCTATATTTTTACCGAATTTTGTAGCTTTTATATTTTATTTGTTACTTGGTTAGTTTTCATTTCTTTTCGTTCTAATTTTTTCAATGACAGGATTATGTTTAATTCTTTCTTATTGTGTTCCAGTTATCCTTCTTTGATTTTGATATATTGATAATCGATTATGTTCTATTTAATTATTTCTAATGGTGCTTCTAATTGAATTAGGGGGTTTAAATAGATATTCTAATATTAATTTTAAATATCTATTATTATACTCTAGTGTATTTATTATTATTCTTGATATTTATTTACTATATTTACTAATTTATCTATTTTATAAGAAAATTTGATTAATCATTCTGTTAATAATATGTTTAGAAGGTTTTCTAATTATTAAATTAGATAAAACTTGTTGAAATATAGTTTTGGATGTTTTTAAAAGTTTCGGGTACCAAAAAGTAATTAAAATTTTGAGTTGGATGGAAAAGTTGACGGATGCACATTTTGGCGACTTTAATGGTACCCGACGCCCTATTCAAACTTGATGATGATGGTTATACCAACTATTTTGGAGAAGGAAAATGGAAGCTCTCAAGAGGTTCTCTTGTGGTGGCTAAAGGCAAGAAGGAAAGTACGCTCTACATGACGAATGCTAAGCATAGCAAGGGAGGAATCAATGTTGCTGAGAAAGATTCTTCCATTGAGCTTTGGCATAAGAGACTTGGTCATTTGAGCGAGAAGGGGCTGCAATTATTGTCCAATAAACAACTCTTGCCCGGAGCTAAAGGTACTCTTCTTAAAACTTGTGTTCATTGCTTAGCCGGAAAAACTCATAGAGTTGCATTTCATAGATTTCCACCTTCTAGAAGGAGTAAGGTACTTGATCTAATTCACACCGATGTTTGTTTTATGCGAGATAAAACTTTTGGTGGTGCAACCTATTATGTTACCTTCATCGATGATCACTCAAGGAAGGTGTGGACATATGCTTTGAAAACGAAGGATCAAGTGCTAGATGTTTTCAAGCAATTTCATGCTGAAGTGGAAAGGGAAACCGGCCTGAAGTTGAAGTGTGTAAGGGCTGATAACGGGGGAGAGTATAGAGGTCCATTCGAAAGCTACTGCAGATTTCACGGAATTAAACTGCAGAAAAGTGTACCTAAGACTCCACAACAAAACGGTGTCGCCTAGAGGATGAATAGAACAATTTGTGAGAGAATCAAGTGTATGCTCTCACATGTCAAACTACCTAAATCATTTTGGGGAGAAGCAATGCGGACAGCGGTTGATCTAATCAATCTCTAACCATCGGTCCCATTGGAGGGTGATGTGCCTCAACGAGTATGGACGGGAAAGGAAGTCTCATATGAACACTTGCGAGTGTTCGGTTGCAAACCCTATGTTCATGTTCCAAAAGATTAGAGAGCAAAGCTTGATGACAAAGCAAAGCCATGTATATTCATGGGCTATGGGCGTGAAGAGTTTGGGTACAGATTATGGGATCCAATTGCAAGGAAAATTGTTCGGAACCGGGATGTGATTTTTCTTGAAGATGAGACAAGTGAAGACGTCGAAAGGGCTGAAAAGAAGGAAAATACAGCAGCTGGTCCGATTAATTTGGAGCCTATATCTCCATCCCAAATGCATGAAAATGTTGAGGAAGTAGTGCATGATGAGCCCCAAGGTGCACTAGATCAAGAAGTGCAAGGAGAAGAGCAATTGGAGCAAGAAGAACAAGTTGAAGAAGAGCAACCTCTATCCGAACCAAGAAAGTCAACAAGAGATCGCAAAGCTTCCACTTGGTACTCCCTCATGAGTACCTATTGTTGACTGACGGGGGAGAACCCGAATATTATCAAGAAGCCATGTCTCATGAAGACAAGGAGGAGTGGAACAAAGCAATGCAAGAAGAGATGAAGTCTTTGCAAGAGAATCACACCTATGATTTGGTGAAGCTACCCAAAGGAAAAAGATCACTTAAGAACAAGTGGGAAGTTAAAGACGGAGGAAACTAGTTCAAAGCCTCGATTTAGGGCGCGACTAGTTGTGAAGGGTTTCAACCAAAAGAAAGTTGTTGACTTTGAAGAAATTTTCTCTCCCGTTGTGAAGATGTCCTCTATCCGAGTTGTGCTTGGGTTGGCTGCAAGTTTGGACTTGGAAGTTGAACAACTCGATGTGAAGACGGCGTTTCTTCATGGTGACTTAGAGGAAGAAATCTACATGGATCAACCGGAAGGGTTCGAGGTTAAAGGCAAAGAAGATCTTGTATGCAGATTGAGAAAGAGCTTATATGGGTTGAAGCGAGCACCAAGGCAATGGTACAAGAAATTTGACTCATTCATGGTCAAAAACGGGTATGCAAGAACTACCTCCGATCATTGTGTGTTTGTGAAATACTTTGCTGAAAATGATTTCATCATTCTCTTGCTTTACGTGGATGACATGTTGATCGTGGGTCGGAATGTTGGAGAGATTGATAGATTGAAAAAGGAGTTGAGTAAATCCTTTACCATGAAGGACTTAGGACCGGCGAAACAAATTCTAGGGATGAGAATCTCTAGGGATCGAAGGAATGGAAAAATTTGGTTGTCTCAAGAAAGGTATATTGAAAGAGTTCTTGAGCGGTTTAACATGAGCAAGGCTAAGGCGGTTAGTACTCCACTTGGAGGACATTTCAAGTTGAGTGTGAAGCATTGTCCTACAAGTGATGAAGAGAAAGAAGCAATGGAGAATGTGCCTTATGCATCAGTTGTTGGAAGCTTGATGTATGCCATGGTTTGCACAAGGTCGGATATTGCTCACGTCGTTGGGATTGTTAGTCGGTTTCTTTCCAATCCGGGGAAAGAACATTGGAGAGCAGTGAAGTGGATTCTTCGCTACTTGAGAGGTACTTCTAGAGTGTGTCTATGCTTTGGTAATGGCAAGACCATACTTGATGGATATACCGATGCTAACATGGCAGGTGATGTGGACTCTAGAAAGTCGACTTCTGGTTACATGATGACTTTTGCAGGTGCTACAGTTTTATGGCAATCTAAACTGCAAAAATGTGTTGCATTATCAACAACAGAAGCCGAATACATAGCTGTGACAGAAGCTTGCAAAGAGATGTTATGGTTGAAGAAGTTTCTTCAAGAGTTGGGCATTAAGCAAGAGAGGTATGTGCTCTATTGTGATAGTCAAAGTGCAATTCATCTTTGCCAGAATCCAACTTTCCACTCAAGGTCGAAACATTGGATTCGTGATGTTTTGGAAGAGAAGTTGTTGGAGCTCAACAAAGTGCATACGGATGACAATGGTTCGGACATGATGACTAAGTCTCTACCAAGTGGAAAACATATCTTCTGTCGAGATGAAGCAGGTTTGGTACTACCCCCCATATGAGCTGGAGGGGGAGATTTGTTGGGTTGGTCCAACTCATATGGTGGTTGGATGTTCGATATCATTGGATTCGTGATGTTTTGGAAGAGAAGTTGTTGGAGCTCAACAAAGTGCATACGGATGACAATGGTTCGGACATGATGACTAAGTCTCTACCAAGTGGAAAACATATCTTCTGTCGAGATGAAGCAGGTTTGGTACTACCCCCCATATGAGCTGGAGGGGGAGATTTGTTGGGTTGGTCCAACTCATATGGTGGTTGGATTAACCGGTTTGAGTTTGAGTTTTAGTGGGTTTCTAGAAGATCCTCTATTTTTAAAATAGAGAGTTATTGTCTGGTCAAAAGTAAAAAGAGGAGTCAGCCTTTCATTTTTCCAGAGAGAGAGAGAATCAAGAAAAGAGAAGAGATAAGGAAAAAGAGAGAAGAGAGAAAGAGCTGTTGTTTTTCGTTTCTGCAGCAGGGAAGCCTGTTCAAATGAGCGTTCTGGAGGATTGAACCGTTGGATCGTCCTGAAATTTGGGCAGTGGTTTTGCAATTGTCTGGGCTTCATTCTGACCGGAGGGATCGTCATTCTGAGCTCTATTTTGTCGGAAATCTCTGCTGGACAGAAGGTGTACGAATATGTTTTTGGGTACTTCTCAACCTCTCTTTGTCTTGCTCTTGTTCTTGTTATCCACCATGTTGGTGAGAGCTATTGTGGTTGATTGTTGATCCAAGAAGGGTGTTCTTGAGGTGTTTGTAATCCTCTAGCTAGTCTAGAGAGGACTTGTAATCCCACCAAAGTCTAGTGGAGTTGTGGCTTGGACAAAGGTCACGTGGTTTTCCCCGATTTGGGTTTTCCACGTAAAAATTGTGTGTCTTGTGCATTCTATTCTTGCTTGTGGTTGCTGCCCGGTTTCTCAACATTATTATCGTTGGAGGCACAGGAAGTTGGGAGAAAACAGCTAGCCTTCAAGGAAACATGGAGAAGACGGTGAATAAATTCGTTCTTTTCTTTGCTCTACTGTTTTTCACCGCAGGTAAGCATTAGTTGGTTGGTTTTACTTACAAACATAAATTGTATTAAAAAAAACTGGGATTTTAAGTATTGCTTAAAATAATTAATTACTTACTTGGATTGTGATTTGAAGGTATGGAGATGAGAGTTGCAGAAGGAAGGGGACCTATCGTTTCGTTCAAATGCAATGAGGCTGTAGAATGTTCGGAGTGGTGCAGGGCTGCTGAATGCCATGTTTGCACTTGTTTAAATCACAAGTGTATCTGCCGTGCTGATGCAGTACTGCACCATATCATCAATCCTCCGTCTCCCACACACTGATAATACCTTGCCTTGTGATCGATGCCAGAGCAATACCAATTTAATTGTTGTTTCCCTTTCTTAATTATTGTTGTTGTTTTTACCTAGATATTTGTTTTTAGATGATTAAATATAACATCATTCGGTGCCTTTCAATCTTAATTAATTATGTTTGAAGAAGGATCCAAGTGGTGGGATTTCGTGCTTGTTTTAATTTGTGTATATTACTTTTTCGGAATCGTCGTACTAAAATTACTAAGCTCATCCTAGAATTAATATGTAAATTACTGTATAACCCTTTTAATTTGCAAAAACTCAAATAACAAACCAAACCAACCCCCGCCGCCGGCATCACACCTGCGTCCGTCCGTCGCCACCATCCCCCTCACGTTCGTTTAGCTTCCACGTTGTTGGCTCTGTCCGCCGATCTCTCTCCCCCACCACCTGCCATGCTACGTCGTCTTTATCCAGGCCGCCGGAGAAGAGGGAATGACGAACAAGGGCGGTTGTCGAGGCAGCTCGATCCCGCGTCCGCCAGCGCCAGCCCTAGTTCGTCCAACATAAATCTTTTGTTCGGTGGGTTTTCCCTAATTTCTTATTGTATTTAACTTAAAAAAATTAAATAATGATTGATTTTTGTGAATATGAATCTAAAGGTGCTATACGATATTTGAACATTTTGTTGTTGTTAGGGTGTGTTTGTTAAATGAAAGAAAACTAAAATGTGTAAACGTCATTTTTCATATTTTTTAGAACGACACTTATATATTGTCGGAAGACATTTCTCAATTTCCAGTTGGCATGATGGACCTCTAGGCCGTAAGATGGGCTCATAGACCATGAGATAAGGACTATACCTTCACTTCCTGACAAGCTTTGACACCCGATCAACCCAAAACTCGCTTCTAATTTCTATCCACGTATTAGGACATGAAAATAGGACGCAAGTAACATATTTTAGTGTGAAATAGGTCAATGAACTACCAAAACCAAGTAAAACGATATAGAAATGGAGTTGTAAACATGTATAAATAAAAATTTATGAAACTCTGTTTGTCTCCAAAATTTTATATTAAAGCACATTTAGAGCACCTTTTAAATTCAAACCAATTCAACTCCCACTACTAGAAATTCAAGGAATAACGACGGTCCCTTAACGACAACCGCGTATGACCACCGTTAAAGAATGGTTTCCGTTACTAGAAATTCAAGGCATGAAAGTCCCTTGAAGTTCATGATGAAACAAGAGAGAAGGGATGCTTAACTGTCGTCTTCTTCTTCTTCTTCGCAAGTGATTTCTCTTTGTGGGAGGAGACATTGGTTTGCGAGGAGGAATGTATAGATGAAAATAATGATGTTTGATTGAGGCGGGGGAAACTGAGGGAGTGTTCCATTGCTTTTTATTTAGAGACAAGAAGCCTTCTGTTTTTTTTTTTTTTTTTTACAACAGAGGTAAGAAAGAAGAGTGCAAGGTAATAATTTGGAAAGGAAGTAAGGTCATAATTTGCAAAATTATTAATTATCTTTGGGGCTTTCTTTGGAATGGGTATGGTGAGTAGCCTAGGTCTAAATTTGCAAAGTAGAACAGAAAGAGGCCTGACCTAATTGTGTATAAGTTGTATGGACCATATATGATGAAGGTGGATTGGTCTGAAGAGCCTAGGCCAGACCTGATTTCTTTATTTTTTTTAAAGAAAAAAATCATGAAATTCAAAAATAATCTTCAATTAAAAAATCTAATTATAATCAATTTGATTTGATTTTGTCCAAAAAAATCATTTGGTTATAATTGGTCGGGTGTGAAAAAACTGTTGCAAATTAAGAGCGAATACGTACATTGATGTTTGTTATGAAAATAAACTGTATATGTTGTGCAATAAAAATGATTGTACGGAACAACTTAACTATGGGAAATTCGTGTAGATAAGATATCTAGTTACAACACATCTAAGCGGTAAAATACTAGCATTATATAAAATGAAGTCCACTTAGATACGTTAGGGGGAGTGAAGACGCACGTTAATCGCTATGCCACATACAATGATGGTATAAAAAAATGTATCACGATGATATGAACGATCAATTTTGTTCAATAAAATAATTATAATTTTGTTAATCACAGTCAGTTCATTTGTCTCGATGAATCTTTTTTTAAATCAAAGTTAAAACAAAGAGTATGCAATCTGATTACGGTAAGTATGAGATACGGAGAGAGAGAGAAAATATTTAAATCTCTACAACTAGATTGATCTAAGAGGTTGTAATTTAGTTATAAAATCTTACACAATTGGGGATTGTGCACTCGAGTCTGGTCCAACGTTATTCATCTTCACGAAAACTTTAGCATTCAGCAAACGCTAATGGGGCCAAAAAAAAAAACTACAACTTCAGGTAAGAAAGATTTAAAGAATTGCTCTATTCAAAACTGAACCTACTGGTTGAACGCCAATTGCAAGAGGCATCTAATTAATATCGCCACTAGCTAGCCTACTGTTTCAAGTCCTCTGCTGTCATTCTTGCTAAAATAGTATAAATAACCCTTTTGCGTGTATCTGTGGAGCTATCACTGGAAGTATGGCTTCATATTGTCATGGATATTTGTTGCGTTCTCTCTGTCCTTTTCTCGGACTTGGCTACTAATTCGTGACCTAGCTGTTGGGAAGGGTTTGTTTGGAAGCCATTTTAACTTAGATTCCGCAATTGGTTTGAAATACATTGAATTTTGTGGTTGTGTGTAATCGAACCATACTTGAGAATGGCATTATATAAACAGGGGCGGACCCATACATGTTTTAGGGTTGTCAATTGACAAAACTTAATTAAAAATTGAGACCCAATTAGCGTGTTAAAATTTATATTATTGTTTATTGTAATTGAAGCCTCTCCAATTTGACAACGCTTATAATTTCAAATTGAACTTTGCAAACCTATTAAGGCACCCGAAGTAATTTCTAAACCATATTAATTTTATCGAATCCAAGTATCTTTATTAATTCTTCTTTTGCACTTTGGAGGATAAAAACTTTTCGACTAACCCCCAAATTCCTGTTACAGTTTATCGAGAGTGAAAATATCTTAATTTATGTGTGCAATATTATCTAGCAAATCAAAGTTTGGTTTTAACTAATAAACAAACATGTTTTCCTTTTTTTTTTGTGTTTCTTCTTGTTTGCCCCCACATTTGTATGGGGTTTTTCTGCCATTTTGTGGACTTGTATCTTCTTTTTTTCTTTTACTTCGATTTGGTAATAATATTTGGTCTCATCATCCATAAAAAAAACTAATAAACAAACATGCAAAGCAAGTAAAGATTGGTCGAAATCCAGTGAGATAAAGTCACTCGGGTGTACTTCCTTCTAACTACAAATTAGATCGATATTGACGATCCTAGCTTGCCCACTCGAAATTTATATCGCAAAGAGTCCCAACCCCACTTGAACTCCCTATTTGAGTTATCCAAAATCACATAGGATGCACTATTTGAAAGGAGAGTTTTCAAGGAAAAATAGAACATTAGGGCATGCAATTTAGACTCTCACTAAAGGATTATGATCCAATACAACATTGTAATCCAATATCATGCTTGATCAATCAACCCACAATGAAGAATTGAAAAATTGATCTAATCAACTTAATTGGATATTCTCTACCTTAGGTTAATAGCTAAAATTGGAGAGTTTGATCAATACCCAACAATTCCATGAAATACTTTAATTTAATATAATAATCAAGAGTGTAAACAAGCATAGTAATCATTCAATCATCAAAACCTAACATACATAGTTAGAGTTCTACACACCCAAGTGATTATGGGTCTACTCCATGTGAAAGAAAGAGGAATAATCACAAACTTGAGATGAGAAAAAGGATGGGGTTCTTCTTCTAGAGCTCCCAATCTTCTCTCATTGGGTAGGAATCTTACCTCCAATTGAAAATTAAAACCTTGAATCACCACTTAGGGCTCTCTCTCTCTCTCTCTCTCTCTCTCTCTCTCTCTCTCTCTCTCTCTCTCTCTCTCAGGTTGTTGATTTCTCTTCGCATGTCACGTGCATGACATTGACAAGTAAACCATGACGTCGACCCGAAGTGCACCGTTTCATTTACACAGCTAACTATTTTTGTGTAAATGTCACGGTTGAAATCATGACTTCTTCAAGTGCCCATTTATAAAATTAATAATTATGATTTGATGGTCTTAGTTTATGTTAAATCATCTTTTTATTAAAATAGTGAACCAGTAGACCAGTTAAACCGTGCTTGTTCATCTGAATTTATGTTGCACCGTGAAAAACCGTTTGATCCATTAATAATCGTTCAAGCAATGAATCCGACCGCTATCGTAACTGATTTGAGAATTCTTCTGGTCCGGCCGTTGATCTGGTTCGATTATTATAACAATGGTATTTACTCACATTTTAAGCTTTAAAATTTATTTTAGCAAAATATTCATTATATATAAATTATTATATTAATTTTTAATGTTATTTTGTTTTTATTCCGTAAATGGAACCACCTTAAATGATTTCTTGGCTATGCCCCTCACAATTTTGGGTAACTTCTCTAAGTCTAGGATTAGTAGCGTCCCGTGGCGTTTGATAGAGAGCTATTTGTAAAGGCAAATGCTACGGTGCTATTGTTAAAAGTGCGGTACCGGTGACGCTGTTTGTGATTGGTCCACACGGGCGTGACGTGGCACTATTGAAGTTTATTAAATCCCAACCCAAAATAGTTGCCCATGATTCGGCCCAAACCGCCACCTGCCCAAGGTAATGAATATGTTTTATTCCGTCTTCTTTTTTTTCGTCTTCTCAATTCTCATCTTCGTTTTTCATTTTGTTTTTTGTCTTAATTCCTATGAAATTCGTTTTCTCTCCAGTAACAAAAAAAAAACACAACGAACGAAACCCAATGCGCAGCGTGTCTCTTCGTCGCTCTCCCTGTCTCCCACTCTGAGTCTCCTACAGAGCACAGACTGTCGTTTCCGCCGATTTCTCCATCGAAATCCAATATCCAGTCTTTGCCATACACTTCCACTTAACTCCTTCACTGTCTTTCTCATTCGCCTTCTATTGAAATAGTTCCGCAGACAAATAGAAGAAAGGAAGAGAAATGAGTAGGAAAGCGGCCCAAATCCCTATTCCTTTCCCCTTCTCCTTTCGCGCTCTGTGTTTTCTCCGATTCCAATTAGGAGTAGCAATTCGAAGAATCTCCGCTCAAGTTCAGCTTATGGCCAGTTCAAGCATGGAGACGCGACCATTCAACTTCTCAACGGCGTCGAGCTGGTTTACTAGTATGTATTTTTAGGGTTTTTCGGTGCTGAAGGTCTCGAGTTGGAGTTTCCAATCCTCGACAAATTGAAGGCAAAGTGATCGACACCGCGACCAACGACAGAGGGGAGGAGAGATTGCTTGATGCACCCGGCGCGGTACTGTTTAACCGCCATGGCTAAGGAGCTCTGTTAATTTAATACTACAGCTGTGAGACTCATATTTTGAGGGGTGGAACTTGTGAAGGTGGTCGAGGAGAAGCTCCAGAAAGGCAATCCTGGTGCCACTCCGGCTCTCCTCAGGCTTGTGCTCCACGATTGCTCCATCGAGGTAACGATGTTTTAATTATCCATCGTCACTTTTTTCATATTGATTTAACCAAACGTTTGTTGGGGTTCTAGGTTAACCAGCTTCCACCTTTACTCTCTTGGATTCTTCAGCAACCCAGCAAGCCCGAATATGCACTCGAACACGGAGCAGAGCTCCTTATAGTTCTTGAAGCTCGAAACAATTTCAATCTCTCAACTGACCATGCCTTCTGAACCTGTCTTTTTAATCATTACGAAAGCACTGATTAGCATTCAAGAGGGACCGCCGGAGATGGAGTTTGATGAAGTTCTCTTTTGTTCGTTTGATCAATCTCTGATTTCTGTTCTCTCCAAATTCCCCTGTGTATCTGTTTTCTTATTCTACCCGAAATACATAACTAATATCATTTTTCATTTAGATAAATTTTAACTTAATGAAATGAAAGATAAAATAGAATAACGGGGAATGGTTTTTTATTTTTTTTGTCATAAACGGGGAATGGTTCTTCCTCCGTTACTTTTGAGAGACACGGTTTGGGCCACTCCTTTTGGGTCAGTCGGCCAGACGGGTGGGATTTAATTTAATTAGTCCAGCTATGCCATATCATAGTTTAAAAAATGCGGCACCGTAGAATTGGTCATTTGTAAAAAGAAAGATGTTCTAGACTTCATGGTGGTGTGATTCGTATAGTTGAACAGACGGTAGACGCAATTTGTCCAAACTTAGGGTATGTTAGCGACAGCGGCGGATCTAGGCTCACCTCGGGTTGAGGCCCAACCCTCTTCTTTATCAAAGTTACTATAGCACTTATATATATATATTTTTGTGTTTGTTCAAGTTATGGCCCAGCTCACTTTATCTATTTTTAAAATATGGCCCAGTGCTCTACCCAGTCTTGGATCCGTGGCTGGTTAGCGAAGTATAGAAAAAGGGTTGGAAGAGGATTTAGCAGATGCTGGTTTCAAATCAATATAGAGACTCCTTATAGTTTGTAGATTTTTTTTTTTTTTTTTAGGAAGTTGTATAGTTGATGATGGTGAACTTACAGAGTGGTGCTTTGCTTTTGCCACTCTACAGCTATTGAGCTTAACACAGTTACGTTGATCATTCAGCCCAAAAATGAAACACCAAGTCCAAATCTGAGTAAGACCAAGCACTCGCATAAAATAAAATTCACAAATATCACATAAAGGAAGAGATTAAAAGCACAAGAAAGAGGATCAGTCTAACAAAACGAGACACAAAAAAAAAAAAAAGGATTTCAAAAACAGAGGGGCTGCTAGTGCTATAGCTGCCACTATCCAGTGTAGATGTGGACTCCAATGGCGATCAAGAAGATGGTGATGAGACCAAAGAAGAGGACGGTGTGGACCAATATCGCCATCGCACTCGTTTGCATGTTCCCAAACTCCACCACTCTGCCTCTCCCTGGGAGCTGGAACAGCAGCCCTGGGCTCAGCAGCACGAACAGCACCACTGCTATCACTACGGGCCCCCAATCCGCCATTGTTTCTTGCTGTCTCGAGGGAAACAATTGGGAATTTGAGAGACAAGAGTTAGAGGTGAGTGGCTACTTGTGCTCTGGACTTGGTTTTTTATAGCAGAGTATGGGGAAGGTGGAAACAGAGTGTTTTTGGTTTAGTTGCCTAGCTAGCGGTGATCTCTGATCTGATCTCGTGAGGTTGAGGAAGCAAAGAATCTGGGCATTAAAGGCAAAAAGAAAGAACCGACTCGACTCATTGTGACATTGTCGTCTAAATGTTACCTTTGGTCCCTGAACTTTGATACTCTTATCAAATGAGCTCTTGGACTTCTTTTTTCTTTTAATTGTGATTAGCAATATCGTCACATTTGATAAAATTTTGCAATTGGGTATGAGTTCATATTGGATGCGTAGGTTTTATAAAAAAAAGAATCTTGTTAAGTTCATCAAAAACTTCTCGAAGAATAGTAAGAATATGTACTTTGATGAATCGTGTTCCTTTATAGATCCAACTAATATACCTATTGAATAGGAATTCGAAAAGAAATAATGTACCTTTTTCTCGTATGTTTCTTTTTCAATTATTTTCATTATGTAATTATGATCCATAGATGAACTTTCATTTACCATCGTCTCTTTTACTGTCTACTATGTGCTTGTTGCTTGTAAAAACTTCTCATTTCTTATCTATCTGACCCCTTTTGAGGTAACTATAACAAAAGGAAGCTCACATGCTGAAATTTTTAGTGAAATGAATGGAAATGAATGGAATTGTTAAGTTTTCATAGTGTAGGAGCCTCAATGCGATTGATTCCAAACAAAATAAAGAAGAGGAGTTGTTAACAAAGAAGTAACTAAAACAACCAATCCTCTCCTGGCACAAGGAATTCTGTTGTATTCGTAATTGCCACATTCGGTGTGCAATGATCTGGACAGCTACTTCTGCTGCACGTGGCAGAGTTTAGTTTGTGATTCTTTTCCAAGATTATCCTCTTGTTATATTTAATTTAGTTTTTGTTTCTGGGTTTATTTATTATTACGTTTAATGATTGAACGCTTTTAGTTCGTAGATGGCTAATTATAAAGCTTTCCGTCCACGACTTAAGATTTCGCCAAGTGACCTCCAAATCTATTGTCTGGGCTCCCTCCTTTACTTTCCTTTCTTAATCAATCTGGCGTTCCATTTTTTTTTTTTTTTGGGTAGCTTCCTTTATTCTCCCAACACGTGGTGGAACATTCTTTGCCTAATGGTCTGTCTAATACACATGGAAGAACATGAGATGTTAAAAACCTAATTGCAGTGGTAAGAAAAAAGACTGTGGGTGTTTGTGCACTGATATGGGATTTAGGAATGGCAATGGGCAGGTCCGGGGCGGGTATCTCGATACCCATACCCGTCCCATGGCAGGTCGGGTTCAGGTCGGGTAATTTATTACGGGGCGCGGGTCGGGGCAGGTCGACTCATTGGGTATGTAATTTATGCGGAAAACATTAGAAACATTCGTTATTTTCATTAAAAGACCAAGAAAGAAATCATAATATGATAAAATGTAGTTAAATTATTGAAGAAATTGAGGTTTTCACTTATTTACAACTTTATTATAGCTAAAATATAATGTAATAAGATGAAAATCCTAAGTAATTTGACTAATATTATATGTAATAATGGCAAGAACGGGTCGAGAATGGGGCGGGTCAGGGCAGGTCGGGTCGATGAGAGGTACCCATGCCCGCCCCGCCTACGGGGCGGGTTTGACCTGCCCCAAAACAGGTCAAACAGGTCGGGTAAATCGGGTCAGGTCGAAATTGCCATCCCTAATGGGATTTGAGACTAGAGGTGTCAATTGGGTGGGTTGGGTCGGGTTCGGATTTGGTCCAATTGGGTTGGGTTCAATCGGGTCGGTTTCAATTTGGATCGGGTTTAATTGGGTTGCAGGTCAATTAGGTTACGAGTCAATCAGGTCACTGGTCAATTGGGTTACGGATCGGGTCGGGTTACGGGTGCCTCAAATTACGGGTTTATTGGATTGCGAGTTAATTCCGGTTTGGTCAGGTTAGATTATGGGTTATTCGGGTCAATCCATTTGATCATTTGCTTCTTGACAGAAAATAATATTTTACAAACTATCAATATATGAATATAAATTGTAGGTAATGATACAAAATTTAAGAAAATGATAATATGATAATATTTTACACATAAAAATTAAATATCCATTATGTTAGTATAAAACTAAATATAAATAAAACAGTGTATATAAAAGCTTTGTTGTTAGTTATAATTTTTTCTTTATGGTGAGAGATTGTGACTTCACTTAATTTATTAATTTATAAAAAAATTGAATCAATAAAAATTTGAGAATGAAGTAAAAAATGTAGACAATATGCTTATACATCTCGAAATGAATCGTCTTAATTAAATATAGTATAACCTAGATGTATGTCTCTTTATTTCCACGAAGACTTATGAACATCATTCTGAATCATCCACTTATATATCTTCACAATTTTTTATATATTCACGGTAACATCTCATTCTAAAACTCATTGGTCGAACAACGGTTCGCTCAAATATGATATTATCATCTAGTTCGAATCATCGATTTATTAATTTATAAAAAATAAATAAAAATCAGTAAAAAGTTGAGAATGAAGTAAAAAGGGTAAACTATCCACTTATATATCTTGATAGGATCGTTGATTTCATTGATTTTGGGGATTTCATTGATTTTCAAGGGTTGATATTTTTAATATAGTTATGGGCGGAGGAGATACGAATTTGTGTCTGACTCTTCCTATTATCTTCAAAAATTTATCCTTTGAATTTCATAAAATAAAAAATGAATGAAAAGATATTTCACATATTATTATTTTAAAAATTAAATATTTAAGAAAAAACCTCAATTTATACCATCAATTCTACAAATAATTTTCAATTATTATGAGAACAACAGTTCTTTCTTGATAAATTTAAAAATATAATAATGTATACATTGAATTTTCGTACAAGCATTCGGGTCAAATGGGTTATTCGAGTTGGGTTCGGTTCGGTTACGGATTATTTGGGTTTTGAATCATTTGGGTTACAGATGGGTCGGGTTATGGTTTGGATCGGATAACGAGTTCATCGAGTTATGGGTTGATCGGATTACGGGTCAGTTGGTTTTGGGTTACGGGCGGGCTTCGGATGGTTGATTTTTTATCAAATCGGGTTACAGACGGGTGATGGGTCGGGGCAGGACGGGTTAGTCGGGTCGGATTCAATTTTGACAGCTCTATTTGAGACTCGAAACAGAGTTGCGCCTCTTCTGTTTTCAGTTTCTTTAGTAAGTTGATCTGTAGCTCCGTTCACTGGGCTTCGCTGTAAAAAAACCGAGTTAAAGCTCATTGGTTCATACGAGCCCAAGCCCTCCCTTTTCTTTTGTTACAAACCGAGCCCAAATTCCTCTTTGGCGGACTTTGCCCCAAAATACTAGATTGACGTATAAAAATGGATAAATACAATTTAATATCCAAACCTTTTATTTTAAACAATATAATAGCCAAATCTTTTCGAAAACAATTTAATATCCAAATCGTCAACTTTCTGACTGTTTGACCGTTAGTTGACACTTCAAAAAAGTTCGAAGTACGACACTTCATCAATATCCATCGATATCTTCTTTGAAAAACCACCAACATATCGTAGTTCCAAACCCTAGAAGTCCATGACTCCACCATGATGGTATAGAATATCTAAATATTCAGTCATCTGCAATGCCAAAACAAGAAACAAAGTTGTATTGTGACAATTTCCCCTAAACAAAGCTTTTTTGAAGTGTCAACTAACGGTCAAACGAATGGAAAGTTGACGATTTGGATATTAGATTGTTTTTGAAAAGATTTGGCTATTATATTGTTTAAAATGAAAGGTTTGGATATTAAATTGTATTTACCCTATAAAAATTCTGAATTGCTTTTCGTCGCCCTAAAATTTAAATTTTATCGCCCTAAACTACATTGAAATGACACATATGCCCCTATTCCAAATCAAACCTAAACCCTAGAACCTTCTCTCGGCAACCAAAATCTGCCGCCTCTCATTCTTTGGCGAAACCCAGAACTGCCCTCTACCGCTGTCGTGATGTTGTTGCTGGGTGGAGGAGGACGAAGCCACTGCTTCCCGTTGACTGATGTGCCAACTGGAGGGGGTCTGATTGCAATCGTCCCATTCAGAGCTTTTTCGAGTACATTAACATAAATTGTTGTCTTAATAGGAACGCCAAGCTTGCAGAATATATAATGCAGCAACATTGTATTCGTTGTTCTTGACAAATCAATTTCCATATTCATACTTTCAACATCTAGAGCAGAACAAACAAGCAGCAATTGCAAGGGATCAAAAGATTGGCCAGCATACACCATCACTATTAATAAGGGTTGAAAACTTGTCCCGGAACGTTTGGGATGGGTTGAAAATCTGTTCGATACCCACGAGAAAGGGTATTTGTGTAATTTAATAAGATTTAAGGCGACGAATAAGCTATTTTAGGGCGACGAATAGCAATCCCCTAAAAATTTCTCAATATACTACACTTAGCACGAAAATTTCTCAATCTACTAGAGTTTGACGTGTATCGTCTGACATACCAGAGAACTAGTTTATGCTTCACTATATCTAGGAGCGATCAAGCTTGTTCGTTATCGTGACAAGCAAACTATACGAAGATGAAGTGGGTTTGCTGTTGTAATAGAGGAACTATGAAGCTTTTCGGTGCAACTAGAAGCGAAATGCATTAGTTGGTTGCGAGTTGCAGCAATTTGTCTTGATCGCTTTAATTAACCGCAATCATCGTTTATTTCACTTAATTATTGGAATTACCAATAGCCATTGTTGACATTTGCCTCCATAAGCCATGTAATATTTTTGTAGAGGCAATTGTTTCTATAAAAAATACTTTGGAGAGGCATATATTGTTCTCAATGAACCTAACTCAAGTAATTTTTTATATTTTAAACTAAGTATGGTGTTTAAAAGCTAAATAGTTATAGCGACAAATATTAAACATCTATTCCGGCAAAAGAATTATTAGTCGTTATAAAGGTCTTGAAGTTGCAAAACTTATGTGCTAAAGAGGCAAATTATGTATGTGTAGTATATAATACTTTTAGAGGCACATAATTGTGACTATTGAGGCAAACTATATATGTGTTGCATATCTATTATCTAATACTTAGAGGCAAATACAATATTTGCCTCAACAATTAGCCACTATATGTGGATTTTCTTGTAGTGTTAGCGGCCGGCACTTCTATGTTATTTCCTTGGTGACTACCTACAGGACTATAAGTTTGTATTAAATTCTTTCAGAGTTTGTCGGGTATCTTTGGGGGCTAGGGTTTGCGGTCGCAAGA